TTTGAATGTGGTATGCTGCGGACAGAATTGAGCTTTTAGGGGTTAATCATGGTATGCTGAAAGTAACTTGCACTGCACTTTTACATGTCCGTTTACAACCCTAGGATATAGGATTTGTCCCTAGAATTATTTGGAAGGGTCATGAATATTAATGTTGAGCTCTGCTCTGATTGGCCGTTTCACAGCGCGGCTCATTTCAGTAGCTCACACAGCAAACAGATCGCTACTGCCCGGTGAACGATTAGGCATCCAACCTTATATGTGAGCCTGTATCAGACGAGGATACAGATTTTGAGGAACAACCAATTGTTCAGAGATTGGAAATTGACCCAGTTTTTGAAAATACTTATTTTTGGTTCAAAGAGCGAATCTTTCGCTGATTGTTTACAGTGTAAGTCACTCCCATAATTCGCACAAAGCGTCATGAGGCGTAGGAGAAAGGTAGATTAATCCAAGAGATGGTTATTAATAAAGTATCACTAGTCAGTAAGACTAAATATTTTAATTACTTACATGCAAACTTGGGTTAGCCATTTCAGAAGAATATCCATCAAAAACACAGGTCAAACGAAATCATTGTAAATAAAGACGACGAAAAAACAGTTAAAATAAAGTTACAGAACTAGCTACTAGGAATGCTCAGATCGATCGGCCGGAGATCGGTATCGGCCAATAATCATATTTTATGACTCGATCGGTACTCACCAACTTGGCCGATCTCAGGAACCGATCGCAATTTCATGACGTCAACGCGTGACGATGTACATGATGTGTGGGGACAACAAAAAAGTCAAGTCATATATCACAAGAAAGCTCTCATTCTCAGGAATTTGACGATGTAGATTATTTCATTGTGTGACAATCACAGATCGAATGATCTTCAATAGAATCGCGATGTGAAATTTCTCACCTCTAAGCACATTTTCGTATGGGTTACATTCCTATTTGTAGCACTGCTTCAGTCAGCCGCAAACAGCCACAAATATCTATATACTCTATATTATATTTTAGATTAGGATCTCTTCTTTCAAACAATATAATTTTTATGTTTCTGTGTGCTTCCATCGGTGAGATATATAGCGTTTTGTCCAGATGCGCACCAGAAAAAATTTACGCACTTTCTGCCATAGACGCGCTCTCCAAATCATCCGCGCTAAAGCCAGGCAAGTCTGATCTTTTACAGATCTGTGCTGGGGCGGCGCCGTGGAGAGGAATGGACGCGCGTCTGGTGAGGCTTTATCAGCGTGTTTTCTCCGTTTGTGATCTTTGAATCTTTATTTTGAAATGTGATAGCACAGCTAGCAATCTGATAAACTGTTTATTGACAGAAAAGGACAGTACATGATGCATTTCAGTAAATATACAGTAAATATTCATGGATCATTACAGTGCTGTGTGAATGATCATTCATTTGTTTGTTTCACGCTCTGAAGGTCATAGCAGCCATGGCTATCGGATTAGCTCAGCTCTGGTCCAGGGATGCAAAGATGTTGGCAGGAAGAGGCTGGATACGGGGTGGCTCAGCTGATGAGGTGAGGAGATGCTCTGAATCAGTATATACCAATACAGAATGCACATAAATGGAATGACATAAAGCTGGAGGATGTGGATTCTATTTTAGATTGTGATAGACCAGATATATTTTATAATTTATACAGTCTTGTGTATCCTGAAAGAATAAAACTGATTGTAGAAAACACAAAATGTGAAATTTGGTCCAATTCGCTTATGCCATTTTGTATATTACTACTTAGAAAAACATAAAAATGAAACATAATTCAATCAATAATCAAGAAAAGTGCTTATGGCACATAGTAAAATAGAATTCTGGGGGTAATGTGTTTTAAAAAGCCTGTTTTTGCAAAGGAAACTCAAAATGATATGTATATGCAAAAAAGGACAATTTTACTCACTTCACTTATAATGCAATAACTCCTGTTTAGAAGCTGTTATTTGAAAGATTCTTTTTT